GCTACACGCACAGGGAGAACGTCTGCAATGGCCCGCTCAACAGCGACATCTTGACGAAGCAGTTCGACACGATCGTGGCAGTGCTCAAGGAGTACCCCAACGGCAGCGTGACGCAGGGCGCAGCGTTCGAAGCTTTCTCTCACGCTGCCACAGATAATGATGACAAGTGGCACCTTGGGCCAGAAAAATCCGGATGGGCTACATCACGAAACGCCTGAGGGCCATGCTCAGAGACGTGAGTCAGCAGATCTTGAAGGTCAGGAAGAACCCGACCAGGAAGGCCCCGCAGTGGCTCGTTCCCTTCAGGAAGGCGACGATGGAGCCCGAGGAACATCGGGCTTGAATGTAATTGGAAGGGGGCATTTGGAGGAGGAGGAGGAGGGGGAGGAGGAGGAGGGAGCAGGAGGAGGAGGAGGAGGAAGGAGGACGAGCAGTAGAAGCAGCAGCAGAGGAAAGGAAGTCGGTTTGGGCGTTGGCAGGGTGAGGTCAGAGTTCGGGGAGGTGGAGGGGGGTTCATCGACCAATCCATCGCGCGCCCATCGGCCACGATGGACATGCGATGGATTTGCGATGGAAGCACCCTCCACCACCCCGAACTCTGACCTCGCGACCCCCCCAGCTCGCCGGTGCCCCCCACAGGAATTCACGGCGGCGACGGGGCCCGACTCGGGCGCGGAGGCGGCCGACGAGTCAGCCGAGGACGTGCCTGCCCCCCCCCCCCCCCCCCCACTCCTCCGATTCCTCGCCCTTTTCATCGGAAGGAAGTGGATGAGGGCACGTTCGTGAGGTTCGAATATGAGTACAACGAGGAGATGCAGGCAGGGCAACTGCAACCTCGACCTCCTCGTACCTTATTCCTGCTCCTCCTGATCCACATCTCTTCCTCATCCTCCTCCTCCGCCTTCTCCTCCTCCGCCTCCTCCACCTCCCCCCCCCCTCCTCGCCCTCGTCCTCCTACGCCTCCCCCTTCGCCGCACCGCCCTTATTCATCCTCATCATTTTCGTTATTTCACTCGACCTCCTCCTCCTCCTCCTCCTCATGTCCTATCCCCCTCTACCTCCTTCTGCTCATCTTCGTTCCTTCGTCCACTTCGTTTGTCCACTCGGCCTCGCACTCCCTGTCCTAACCACGTCGTTCATCCTCGCCCTCCTTGTCATTAATCCTCATCCTATGCGTTCGTTCACTCGACTTCCTCCACCTCCTCCTCCTCATCCTCTGCCTCCTCCTCTTCGTTCTTGCCCTCGTCCCCCCCCCCTTCTTCCTTCGCCCCTCCCCCCCCCCTCATCTCCCGACCGCTTCCTCGCCCTCCCCCCCCCTACTCCTCAGGTCCTTATCTTCTTCCTACCCCCCCCCCCCCCCGCGCGGGCGGGGGGGGGGGCGGAGGAGGCGGAGGAAGAGAAGGAGGAGGAGGAGGAGGAGGAGGAGGAGGAGGAGGAAGAGGAGAGGAGGAGGAGGAGGAGGAAGAGGAGGAGGAGGAGGAGGAGGAGAGGAGGAGGAGGAGGAGGAGGGAATTACGCGAGGTCTGGAAGAAGCCCGACGGTGCAGAGTTCATGGCGAAGAAGATCAAATCGTTGACGGCGCCCCGCAGGCCATCTGATGACTGCGACGACAACGCGCACCCCGTGGTGAAGTTCAAGAACACTGACGGCTCCGACGACACGTACACGATCGAGACCATCGCGGTGGGCCAGACGACGAAGAGGCCGACGACAGGAGAAGCTGCAGCGAGTGGTTCGAACAAAGTTGCAGAGTGGAGCGTGAACACGTTCGACGGGGGGCTTGTCTTGCGCTGGAACGAGGAGAATGAGAGTAAGGACAAGGGCCGCACGCGCAGCATGATGCTGCTGCTCCAGTTCCACGGCAGCGACATCGGCACGCGGCAGATCACGCAGGACGCGACGACCGACTTTGATGTGCACGATGCGCAGAAGGCCGAGAAGTTCTTGAAAGAGCTCGACGACGGATTTGCAGACGGCAAGTTGGGCACGGATTTCGCCGAGAGCAAGGCCGAGGCGAAGAAGCGCAAGGGCTACTGGCATGCCGCGACCTTCCCGAAGGGGAAGACGGAGAAGGTGGCCGCGAAGCGGCCTGCTGCGGCGACCACAGGCGACATCGAGCCGAAGAGGGTTGCCAAGCGGACGGGCGCCCAGACGACCGAGATGGCCTCCAAGCCCGCGGCGCCCGTCGTGGAGCCCGAGCAGGCCTGCCCCGTCACGCCCGTCAAGGGCGCCAAGGCCAAGCGGCGCGCGGGCGCCACCTTCGCCCCCGAGGCCGCGGCGACCTCGGAGGATTCCGCGCGAGCAGGGCGCCGCGGTCAAACCCTTTTCAGAACAGATTCGGGGGGGGGGGGGGGGGGGGATCTGAAGAATGAAAATTGTAGTGTCGCCATTCCCCTCGCCCCCCGCTCCAGAAAGCCCCTCCGCTCGATCGAAGCGACTTCGAACGCAGAACAGTTTGGCCCAACATGGCTACGCAGGAGGAGGAGGAGGGTAGGGATGAGGACGATGAGGTAGAGACGGAGAACGGGGGCAATGAGAACGAGGAGGATGAGGGGTGCAGAAGGACGATTGATGATTGCGAATTGCGAGCGACCCTGTTTTGGGGCAGATGTCAAGGAGTCACATGTAGATAAACTTGCAGGGCTATGCCCGCGAGGCACAGGTTCTGGCCCGACACAGGGCGTCAGGTTTTATTTGGGGCGACGACAGCGATGGTTTTCAAAACATGTGTTTACGCGTAGCTGATAGTGGTTCAGGCAGCCTCATGAAAGAGACAGCTCTTGAGTTTACGCTCAGACCAGCTAACTTCAGAGACACCCGTATCTGGCGGACGTTGGCTTCGAACACGCCAGCCGCCGCTGGCCCAGTGCGGGAGGTCGAGGCCATGAGCTCCCAGTCGGCCCAGTCGGAGCGCGTCCTCGAGAGCTTGTATCCACCAGAGGGCGGCCATGGCATCGAGACGGACGAGTTCTACGCAGAGAGGCGCGCCAAGAAGGCCCGCTTGCAGGCGATGGCAGATCGCCCCCGCGACGCCACAATCGTTCTTGATGAGCAGGCCGACGGGGCGGCGATGGGCGACGAGTCTGAGGGCAACGTGCCGCTCGTAGGACCGCCTCGGAAGCGAGCGCCTCAGGGGGACCTCAGGAGCGCGGTCGAGCAGGGGGCGCAGGAGGCGGACGAGCAGCCCGCCGACAGCCTCGAGGAGATCGTCGGGGATGCGATCGTCGGTTCGTTGCCCCATGCCGAGGGCGGCGGCGCGCCGACCAGCGCCGAGGACGATGCCGCGGCGACGGCCGCCGAGGCGACGGCCGCCGAGGCGTCCAGCGCCGAGGGCGGCGGCACGCCCGCGGCGCCGTCCGCGCCGTCTCAGGCTCCAGCAGTTGCGGATGACGATGACGAGGAGGCTTGGCCGCCCTCGGGAAAGGATGCGTTTCAGACGTCCCCCCCCCCCCCCCCCCTCGGGAGGAGGATGAGGGGGGGGGGGGGGGGGGGGAGGCCGCCCGCCCAAGGCGGCGTCGGGGTAAGTCCACCGGCGAAGGCTGAGGCCGCTGCGGCGAAGGCCGAGGTCGCTAAGGCGAAGGCTGAGGTTGCCGAGGATGGAGGCTCTAACCGCCCCGGAGGCTCTGAGGGTTTGGCCACTCCTGTGGCCCTTCCCTCGCCTCACTCGGCTGCGGATCCTGCATCAGAGGAGTCTTAGGCACCGGAGGGGGGCGACGCTGCAGCCCGCATTATCCAGTCCATTCGCGAGGTTCCGCACACTCACTTCGAAGACAATCGCGCCCGCAAGGCGCTCAAGCGAGAACGTGACTGGTTTAATGAGTGGAAGCGTGCCACCTCCAGCGGACAACCGACCACGGTTGATCCAGACGACTCGGATGAAATGGAGGTGGACATCGTTTCTAACGCACAGTCCAGGTACATGCTTGCCAAGAGAAAGGACCAGCATGAACCAGGCGGCTACTCTGCTCCGTGGAAGAAATATGCAGCGAGTGCAACCACTGGTTCCCGAGAGACCAGGGCAAGGGATATAGCAAGAACAAGGGCAAGTCCAATAATGTGCGGCCAGCTCCATATGCTGGCCCTGGAAAAGGAGGCAAGTCTTTTGCGCCTCACCTGCCAGCTTGGCAGAAGGGAGGTTCCTCGTCGTCGACTCGCATTCGAAGTCCTATTGGAACAAGTAGTGATCAAGTACGAGTCGCACGACCTAGTCGCTGCGACTTGAGAGGCCCGGCTTAAGCGGAGGTGGGGTTCGCTGGCGACCTTCAGCCCATCGTCCCCAGCCGGCCTGGAGTTTTTGGGCTCCTCCAGGTTGTATATATGTACAGAGGTTGGCGGATGTAGGCTGACGGGCTTACGGACCCCGCCGCGGGGGGAGTTAATATGCTCCTCTCCGCCTCATTTTCTAGTTGCCTCTCCTGCCGCCTGCCTTGCCTCACCTTGACATTACTGCAGTACTACTCTGCAGCTGTTTGCATATCAAGCCAGAAAAGGAGCGCGCCTGCCCGCGGCCTGCGCGCGTCGTCGGTCGTCGGCCGGCCGGCCCTCCTTCCTTCCAGTGCTTGGTATGATTTGCTATACGGATTATCCATTGTCTCAATCATGCCTCGTCCCAAACCCTCTACCACAGAGCGTATTGATCACGATACCTTAGTTCCTTTGACATCTTACCCCGATTCTCAGAGGAAAGACTAAGTGGGCTGGCCCCTGCGGCTCGCTCAGGTTTGCCGCCGTGCTTCTCGTTCCTAATTTCCGTTGGACTCTGATTTTGCCTTTCCTACCATCAAGCTGGATGCGCATGACGCGGCCAGTCCGGGCGAGAGTCGAATTCTAATTCTCGGGCATCGTGCCGCCGTGCGCGCCGGCCCTTCGCATCCGTATCCAACGCGCGGCGTCCACACGTTTCGCATCTTGATCCAGCCGCGTGTGCTTCCAGCTTCCTGTCCTTTCTACTCTGACTCCTCCAACGCCCACCCGCTGAACCCGGGCCACCCTGCGATCAGGGCATCGCAACCAGCCGGATGGACTCCGAGTCCGACGTTGGGGTCTTCCACGCGTGTGGCCAGACGTGGAGCTACGGGGAGCCGGGCCGGTCTAAGCGTCGGAGGCGATGCAGACAGGGAGGGCGAGAAGGGGCGGAAGGAAATAGGAGGAGGCAGGAGGGAGGACGGCCGAGGGAGGAGAAAGAAAGGGGACGGAAGACAGAGAGAGGGGAGATGGCGGAGGAGGAAGGGGGAACAAAGGACAGACGCCCCTGTCTGCCGCCGCAAACAGCGGAAAGAAGGATGTCCCTGGGCAGCGAAGATCTTGTCCCCGAGATGTCCTCGGAAGGTGCGAGAAGCATGTAATTTTGGGATGCCCCCAGAATGTTCGAAAAGCATGGCCCTGCGATGTCTCCTGCGAAAGGGGCGTTTGCCTGCACCACGCTTGCTTGTTCGCCTGCTTGCTTCCTCGATTGCCTGTTCCCTCCCACTGGCGGATTGAAGGTGTGAACACATTGCGCATTGGAGGAATGCAGGCGCTCTTCGGCACAGGTCTGTTCGCAGGCACCTCTCATTTTTGTCGCGGCCAGATTTGCAAATGACCAGATCTTGGCATGACCAGAATTAGAATTGAAAGTTCTGTACCTCTCAAACCTTGGTGCGCATACCAAGCCTACGACTGCCGGTCAAATTTTGCGTCTGCATGGCCATACGAGTCGACTGGTACAGAAAACAGTGGCCTGGCGGAGGGCCCGACCATCATTATGCCGATGCGTGTGGCGCAGGGCGCGGCCATTCCTCACATTGGCCTGCCTGCCGCGAATTGGCTGGAGGTCGGGCAGTGCGAGTCGGGGCTGCGGAGCAAACGCGCAGAGGCGTGCTGATCTTCTTGTGTGGCACGGTCCGTTGAGGGAGTGCCGAGGCGGCTGGGGAGGGCGGCATGCGAACCTCTTCTGGGGGGCTGGAGGAGGAGCTCCCTGCGGGGCACGATCCGTGCATGGGTTGTGCCAGAGTGGGCAGGGTGACACTATGCGGGCGCCTTTGTCGGCGCCGTCGGTGGAGCTTCAGCGCGAGGTGTGCGCTGGGGTGGGTGGGATCACGTTATGCAGGCGCCCGCACTGGAGCCGCGTGACACGTGTGCCGAAATGGGTGGGGTGACGCCATGCGGACGACTTCGCTGGAGCCATTGGTGGAACCCTCGAAGGGGCGTGAAACGTGTGAGGGGTGTGCCTGAATGGGCGGTGTGACGCCATGCGGGCTCTCTCACTGGAGACGTAGGTGGAGGTCCCATAGGGTGCACGACACGTGTAAAAGAGTGTACCGACATTATGCTGGCCGCCTTGCTGGAGCCATTCGCCATAGGGGGTCTCGCCATGAGGTGCGAAGCATGTGCGGGTTGCGCCGAAATTGTGGTCGGGGGAGCAGAAGGAGTAAGAGGATGATGATGTTGATGATGATGATGATGATGATGACGAAGATGATGATGATGATGATGATGATGATGATGATGATGATGATGATGATGATGATGATGATGATGATGATGATGATGATGGTAGATGCTGGTAGATTCTTTTGATATCGATGGGGATGAGTGATGATGGTGATGGCGATGCTGATGCTGAGGATGGTGATATTGATGATGATGATGATAATGATGATGATGATGATGATGACGAAGATGATGATGATGATGATGATGATGATGATGATGATGATGATGATGATGATGATGATGATGATGATGATGATGATGATGATGGTGATGATGATGCTGATGATGATGATGACGACGATGACGATGACGATGACGATGACGATGATGATGATGATGATGATGATGATGATGATGATGATGATAATAATAATGATGATGATGCTGATGATGATGCTTCTGATGAGAATGATGATGCTGCTGCTGATGATGGTGATGATGATGCTGATGATGATCCTCGCGTCTACAGGGGTCAGGAGCTCCCAGCTCATACTGCCTCTCGGACGGAGGCGTTTCCCTTCGGCCCTGCGACGGCAACGCACGGCCTCGTGCCCGAGGCACCCTCGCAGCTCACTTGACGCCAAGAGACCGCCCACCGCACCCTCCGAAGTAAGCGGCAGCTACGGCATCCGAGCTGTCACGGCGATTCAGCCCGCAGAGAAGCACACACACGCCAAAAACCGAGCAACTCGGTCAATTTGGCTCATGGCCCCCGATGGACATTTTGTTCTACTATGGCGTCCGGAGGCGAACCAGAGTGTAGGTGGCGCCACCTTCCCTCTCGGTTCAGCCTACGCCTGGGCACGCGGGCGGTGCAACGACAGGCGGGCTGATACGCAGCACAGATGCAGCGCGCGCGACTTGCACGTCCCGTGCAGAAGGTAGCAATGCACATCGGCGGAGCAACACAGCCCCTGTTGACTCGTGGCCACCCTCACGGACATCGTTGCGCCGCTGATGCTTACGTACCGCGGTCCACAGCGTCGGTGCAGCCACCAACGCCTTCGGTTCTCTCTCAGCTGTCTTGCCACGAATGGCATCGACGGATCGGCGAGCGCCGCCGCGGAACGCGCCAGGATTGAGTAGAGTGAGTGCCGCGGCTAGGGCCGACCGCCCACAACAAGCAGACGGCGGCATGCAAAGTGCACGTCTTGCGACGTGCAAGTATGGAAGTCCAAGCAGAGCATCACAGTCCTTTCGGTTCGAGGTCACTCACTGAAAATCGTTGCTCTGCGATGGCGCGGATCCCGATCCAGAGCGTCGGTCGCAAGCCACCTACGCCCACGGTCAACCTCCCAGAGTGGAGGCTGGCAGCACACGTTAGGCGACAGGCGAGACGAGTGTGCCGAGCGCGAGGCCATGCACCTGTGCACCGAGTCGTACCCCTGCACACAAGGCGAACGGCAAGACACCTCGGCAGCAGCAGGCCAAGTATCCCTTGGCTCCTGGCCCAATGGAAGGACCTGTTGCTTTGCCAGTGCCAACGGGGCCCCATCGCGTGTGTCGGCGAGCTTACACACCTGGCCCGGCTTCCGCTCAACGCCAAAAAGCCGGGCCCGGGCCTATGCCGTGCACGCTGGAAGAGCGACCGGCGATGCACTTTGCCACCAGCAGAGCAATTCGTCCCTCAGGCACCTGGCCACACACTGGGCTGATTGCCTTGCCGATGACATCGCGGCCCGGCTCCGCGCGCTCGCGGATGCCCACGCATTGTTTTCAGCCCCCGCTCAGAAGCGCAGGCCCCGACGCAGAGGCGCCGTCGAGGCGCGCGGAAAGATTGCAGCGCGCACCGAGCCGAGGCCATGCACACTGGACGGGGGCAGCAACCAACGCACTTAGCCAGAAGCAGCCCAAGTCGCCCCATGGGCACCTGGCCCCACGATGGAATGGTTGGATTGTCCCTGGCGTCTGAGCCCGATCCCATGCGTCGGCGCGCCCGCGTTTGCCACGCGCGCGGTTCGGCTTCCGTTCTGTGGGCGCCTCCGATAGGGTGGCGCTGAGCGCGGTATCACGCGCGGTGAAAGAACGAAGTGAAAGAACGGAGCGGGCGCCCGCGAGCCCCAGCGTCTGCGGAGATGCCGCGAGAGCTCGGGGTCGCGGATCGAGCCCGCCCCGACGGGCTGGAGGCGCCGCTTCAGCCTCCCGAGGATCGCCTTCTGCATCGCATTCTCGGGCGCCGCCGGGCACCGCTTGGCGAGCCCCGCGATTTCTTGCATTCTGCGTCCAGCACTCGCACTTGATGCAGAACAGGTGCATGCCAGCCCCCCAGAGCTCGCGCGGCTCGTGGGCAGCTCTTGCGGAGGCGGCGGCGACGGCTGGGCGGGGGGCGCCGCTTGCCCTCCGCTGTCGCCGCTGCTGCCGCTCGGGCATGCGCCGCCAGCCGAATCTGGGCCGCCGTCGTCGCCTTCGCCCGCAGGAGCGGGCGCGGCGCCCGCCTGGCTGGAGGGCGGCGCCGCGCCAGCAGTGAGAAGTGCCGATCCCGTTGAAACTGCGCCCGAGCTCAGCTCGCCACCGGCAGCGAACGAGCCCGAGATGGCCTCGCTGCGGCCCGCGCGCTCAGACCGCGCCGCCGTCGTCGGCGCCCAGCCGGGCCCCGCGCCCTCCGCGCGCGTCGAGGGCAGTCGGGGAAGCCGCAGCGGTTCTTCCAGCACGGCTTGCATGCTCGCCAGTCGAGGCCTGGCCGACCATGTCCGTCGGCTGCCGCGAGCTCGGCGCCGCCCTCTTGTGCGGCCGCCAGGCCGACCCTGGCAAGTGGAAGACTTCCTTGGTGGGGCGGTGCGAAAGTTGCGGTCTCGCAAGGCGTCATCTGCGGGGTGAAGACGCGCCCTTTCGCTGGCCCAAACGCCGGCGCGATGGTCGCCGCGCCGCTTCCACGCCGCGATGCGATTCGCCCGTGCGCCCGCGGGGACCGCGCGCGCCTGCGCCTCGTGGAAGGAGAGGTCGTCGGTGCCCATGTCCTTCATGACGGCCCACAGGCGGGCCCAGAGCTCCCTGCAGGGCCTCTGCCCGCCTAGGCGCCGCGCTTCGCGCGGCGACTGCGTCGACGAGCATCTCGCAGTCGGCGGACAGCCTGATGGGCGGCAGGCTGCCCCGAATGGCCTCGACGGCCGCGCGGAGCTCTGCCGCCCGCGACTCCCGGGGGCAGGGTCAGGGCAAGGGCTCAAAGACGCCGACGTTTTCCGCGTCGCGCCCCACGACCGCGACTGCCCGACCGCCGCGCTCGGAGATTAGGCCTGGGCACTCGGCGCCGCTGTCGGTGAAGGAGTCGCCCGCGAAGGGCATGCCGACAGTCCTGCGTCATGCCGCGGGTGGCGGAATCGCCCATCTGTGTTCCGGTGCGAACGCGCGGGGCCGGGGTGGGTCTCCGATGTAGGACGGGCTCGCCATGTCGATTATCGCCTTGAAATGGATGTCATTGGGCGGGTGCCTCTCGTCGCCGTCGTCGTAGGACTCGCTCCGAGCGGCCCGTGGCCGTCGCAGGGCGCCGCCGCGCCGGGCATCGCACAGCGCCGCGAGCTGTGCGGCCCCGCGGGCGCTGGGGCCGCGATGCGAGCGGCTGGTCCATCTCGAACCGACGCGCCACCTGCCATTGGCAGCCGACAGG